ATATCCTCAATTGTGTAACCTAATAGGTAAGGCTTGGGAGGGAGTGACTAAGAGAACCTTGAACTCTGCTTGGAAAACTGTGGCCAGAATGTGTAACAAAAGGGATTTGAAGGGTTTGAGGCTAACCCCGAGAGGAGTTGTTTTACCAGTTTTAGGAATCAATTGTGGAATTGGGGAAGTCCTTGGGGTTGGAGGTTAGTGGGGAGGTGTGGAAGAGTTGGTGGAGGAGGACAATGAAGAACTAACCACTGATGAGCTGATAGATCAACTTCAAGAGCAAGAGGCCAGACCTGGGGAAACTGGTTCAAAGGAGGGGAGAGAGAAATTGAAGGAATTGCCCACTTTTAAAGATTTAAAGGGAAATGTGTGCAAAATGGCTTGAAGTGCAAACCTTTTTGATGAAAATCACCCTCACACAGCTATTGCAAGCCTGCTGGTGACTGTTACAAAGGACACTGTTGTGAACCACTTTAGAAAATCATAAAGGAACGAGAGGTACAGGGCCCCTATGGACAGATATGTTGTGCGAAAGAAGTCCAGGACTCTGAAGCTGGTCCTATGGCATTAAAAGAAGAAGGGAAGTAACCCCAGAAAAGGACTTGTACCTCAAGTCCTAATGGAAGGGGATTCCCCTTCAAACACTAAACACTCTCCTCCCCTCCTCCCATCCCATCAATATCACCAATCTTCAATAAAGTAAGTGTCATGTAATTGTGCATGCCTTTTTCGTTTGTGTGTACTAAAAATTTAAAATTTTTTTGTGGTAAAAAAATTTTTTTTTTCATACTTTTGGGTGTCTTGCACGGATTAATTTTAAATTTCCATTATTTTTTATGGGGAAAATTAATTCGCATAAACGAAAAATTTTCGCTAACGGCCCAGCCCTCTTGCACGGATTAAGTTCGCTATGCGGGGTCCCCCTGTATATGAAAATACACCTCAAAGTCGGCGTTTTAATCCAAAAATTTTGTTCGGAGTTTTTTATTTCTCATTATGCACTGCGTGCTGCAGGATTTTTTTTTATACAGTGGGACACTGACCACACAGACCCATTCTCTACATGTGGCCCATCAGCTTTCTCCTGCTTGATTTGAAGCCGCTAGAATTTTTTTTTTTTCCCAACAAGTCGGCCGTCTCCCACCGAGGCAGGTGACCCAAAAAAGAAAGGGAAAACAATTTTCTTCTTCTTATTCATTTTTAGTAATCTTTACAGGAAAAAGGGTTACTAGCCCATTGTTCCCGGCATTTTAGTTGACTTTTACAAAACGCATGGCTTACGGAGGGAAAGATTCTTATTCCACTTCCCCATGGATATAAAAGGAAAAGTAATAAGACCAAGGACTATTAAGATAAAATCAAAGAAAACTCAGATGAGTGTGTATAAATAAATGTGTACATGTATGTGTAGTGTGACCTAAGTTTAAGTAGAAGTAGCAAGAATGCCTGTAATCTTGATATTTATGAGACAGACAAAAGACATCAGCAATCCTACCATCATGTAAAACAATCACAGGCTTTCGTTTTACACTCATTTGGGCAGGACGGAAAGTACCTCCCGGGGTGGTTGCTGTCTACCAACCTACTAACCTATATATATATATTTATATTATTTTTTTTTTTTTTCAACAAGTCGGCCGTCTCCCACCGAGGACGGGGTTTGCCCCAAAAAAAGAAAGAAAATCCCCAAAAAGAAAATGCTTTCGTCATCATTCAACACTTTCACCACACTCACACATTATCACTGTTTTTTACAGAGGTGCTCAGAATACAACAGTTTAGAAAATATACGTTAAAGATAAACAACATATCCCTCCAAAAAACTGAGTACATGTATATCCCACGTCCGAAAACACTGGCTTGCAAGACGTATACATTTAGACGGTCATTTAGCACAAGTTTATTTGGCACAATTTGGGTATAGCACGATTGAAGAATTGTGGCACAATTTTTATGTAACAAAATCGTAAGATGAATTTAACACGGTTCAGTTTGCGGGAAGGAAAAAAAAAAACTTCCCTTTTCCTCAAGCGGCCTCCTTGTTGTGGATCAGCGGGGGAGAGGTCCTGCCGTCCCCAGCCACCCACCCGACACCACCCCACTAAACCCAGCATTAGTACTTCATACGTGTTCCAGTCCAACTTCTCTGCTACAAGCTTGTGATTGTGAATTGTGTTTTGATCTTTTAATTGCTATATCTTTTATCTACCAAGCAATCATGACACCCAGTAGGCATACCAGTGTTGCTCAAAGTGGCAAGAAAAGGTGTAAGCATTTAAGTCTTAGAGTTAACGAAGGAAACAAAGATATTAGACAAGACATCCTGTAGCCATAATGAAGTGTTACTTTGTACACACAAAAAAGAGGTAATCATAAGTTTGTGCGACTGACTTACTGAATGACTGACTTACTGAACGACTGACTTACTGAATGACCTGACTGACTTACTGAATGACCTGACTGACTTACTGAATGACCTGACTGAACTTACTGAATGACCTGACTGGGCTTACTTTAATGGGCCTGGGCTGACTTAATGAATGACCTGACTGACTTATGAATGACCTGACTGACTTACTGAATGACCTGACTGACTTACTGAATGACCTGACTGAAATTACTGAATGACCTGACTGACTTACTGAATGACCTGACTGACTTACTGAATGACCTGACTGACTTACTGAATGACCTGACTGACTTACTGAATGACCTGACTGACTTACTGAATGACCTGACTGACTTACTGAATGACCTGACTGACTTACTGAATGACCTGACTGACTTACTGAATGACCTGACTGACTTACTGAATGACCTGACTGACTTACTGAATGACCTGACTGACTTCTGAATGACCTGACTGACTTACTGAATGACCTGACTGACTTACTGAAGACCTGACTGACTTACTGAACGACCTGACTGACTTACTGAACGACCTGACTGACTTACTGAACGACCTGACTGACTTACTGAACGACCTGACTGACTTGCTGAATGACTCGACCGACTTACTGAATGACTTGACTGACTTACTGAACGACTTGATTGACTGAATGACAAAGTATAAACACTCCAGTACAACCATCAACTTCAGTACCAGAACCTCTACCATCCACCTCAGTCCAGTAGGACACAACATAACTCTCCACTCTCTTCACAATCATCCACAAACACCGGCACCCACATTTAAGGTAAGAAATATTGTTATTTTTGTTACATTTGTAGCCTCAAGCAGTAAAAACCACATAATACATCATAACAATGAACTACAATTACATTTCACTTTTATTTTGTAAGATGTGTAGGCCTAAAAAAAGTTGTTTGGCTTTTTTGGGGCTCTCAGGAACGTAGCCCCTATTTTCCGATAAGTTCTTCAGTTCATCTAACACGGTTTTTTACCTAACAGTGTTACAGTGTTTTCAGGAACGCATGCTACCGTGTTGAATAACGGTCTACTGTATATACAGCCAAAACAGTCAAAGGGTTAAACTGTCCAAACATAGATCTACGTTGACTTGCGTAGCGCTCCGAATATATTGAAAAATAAAAAAAAAATCTTTTTTTGTTTTTAAAAATGAAGAGCACATTTTCTACATGTTACAGGATAAAAAAAATTAAGGGTCAGTACTTACCGTGATATAAGACCTCAAAGTTGGCTCTGGATGCTCACCTGACAGCAACACTCGACTCCTGCTGCTTGCAGAAGTGTTGCCAATGTACCTTTTTTAGTCATTTTTATTTTAATTTATACATTTTTATGGTCTGATAATTACAAATTATAATAGTTCTTGTGATTTCACAGCCAATCTTTGTTCAGACACTAATATTAGGTACTGAAATAGTACTCAAATATTCACAATCACATTGACAGGTGAAATATTTTCACCTGCCTGGGTCATTTTCTATTGTCTAGAAATATATTCAAAGTATTTATAGGTCCCAGCAGTGTTTTAGACATGTGGAGTATACCTGAAGCATGGTGTTATGAAAAGCATCCCTATACTGCTGACAGCCTAGTGACCATTTGATAAATGTGAACTGCTCCAGCTAACACTCCTGTATTTGTTATCACTGTTACACAGAAACATGTCTGTGTCTGCTCATCTGTCTAGCCTGCTTATCTGTCTTTCTGTCTGCCTGGAGTATATATATCAAACTTCTTGAAGAATGGTGCTAAGACAACTGTTGACAGCTCAGTGAATTTGATAAATGGGCACTGGGGGAACTGTGGCTTCACTTGTTTTCACTGATACACACAAACATGTTTGTCATATCTATCTGTATCTTTGCCGGAATTTTTGGGTTATCCTAGGTAATTTACACTATGTATAATAAAACTGTACTTACATGTGCATATGAGAGAGAGAGAGAGATACAGACAGAGATATAGATTATAGACATAGACAGACAGCCAGAGGACGCCAGCCAGCCAGCCGGGAAGCCTGCTGAATACATAAGAACATAAGAAGGAACACTGCAGCAGGCCTACTGGCCCATGCAAGGCAGGTCCATGTCACCCCCCCCAGCTTAGACCAATGACCCACCTAGTCATGTCAATCCACTGAAGGAGCACAACACAGACCAGCTAGTAGCACAAGCTAGCTGGGTCCAACTCTCACCAGCCCACACTCACTCATGTATTTATCTAACCTATTTTTACTTTCCTCTTAAAAGGGGAATGTTAATACGACATGGCATCAGTGAATCCCTAGCGTTTGCCGTGCTATTTGCTCTAGCTGGTGCTCATTGAACTGGTGCTCCCACAAAGTACTAAGTGGTTACTGATTTTTTTATTACTGTGCACACTGAGTGCCCAGACACATTCTTTCATGTCTAGGTGACTCAAGCTTATTGCACCAAATTTAAAGAATGAAAAATAAAACATAGATCTACATTCGGAGCGTTACCCGTGCAAACGTAGAGCTACGTTTGGACAGTTTAAGGGTTAAATCAAAATGATACATCAATTGAATAATTCAATATGTAGGTAAACTTACCCTAGAGTACTGCCACTGAGGGAAATTTTGTGGAGAGATGAGCTGGAGGGTGGTGCAGTTCCCTATGGGATTCTCCCCCACTAGAGTTTGATGAAGAAGCAGACGTATCTCCTTCTTCTGGCTTCAAAGAGGGTGTGGTGAGTCCCGACCTCCACCACCACTACTTACATCATCTCCATCTTCCTGCTGCTGTTGCTGCTGCTGCTGCTGCTGCTGCAGCTGCTGCTGCTGCTGCTGACTAACCACATACAGACTTTTTCCATTCAATTCTGGAAAAAAAAAAAATGCGAATAAACCTTTTTAAAA